GGGGAGGGAGGTGGGAACAGGCCTGAGGGCTCATTGTGGGGAGGGGGACATGATGTATAAGGCAGTCATGCCTGGGGTAAAGGGTGATCTGGGGGGAAGGAAGGAAGGAGGGAGGGAGGAAAGAAGGAAGGAAGGAAGGAAGGAAGGAAGGAAGGAAGGAAGGAAGGAAGGAAGGAAGGAAGGAAGGAAGGAAAGGAGGGAGGGAGAGAGAGAAGGAGGGAGGGAGGGAGAGAGGGAAGGAGAGAAGGAAAGAAAGGAGGGAAGGAGGGAGGAAGGAAGGAAGAAGAAAGGAAGGAAAGAAGGAAGGAAGGGAAGGAGGGAGGAAGAGAGGAATGAAAGGAAGGAAAGAAGGAAGGAAGGAAGTATGAAGGAAAGAAAGCTTTATTAGGCACCTATGATCTCTGAGTATAAAGGCCAAAACCATAAAACGTGCCAAGGTCTGAGTGTGCCAACTGCCTCAGTGACTACCCTAGCTCCACTGCAGACCATGGTTGACCGAAAGCCACCTCCTTCCCCTGCTTCTTCTTCTATAAAGTGGGGGTAATGATTCCTTCCTACTTCATAGGATGAAACAAGAGAATGAATATGAAAGGCCTATGGGAAACAAGAAGCTTCCCTTCTTTCCATCTTCCTGACCCTGAGAACTGGAATGACTGGTCATCTTGGAGTCAGATGACCTTGGGTTTGTGTCCTGACAAGGGCTGCCCACCAGACCTTTCAAAGGGCATGGCAGCCTTCTTGCCACAGAAGTCAGTCACTTCTTACAAATGTGTCATGTTATGGCTGGTTTGGGTTGTTTGCTTTTTTAAGATTCTAATTTAGTAACCTTAATCACAGCTATGACACTTAATCAGCTACGTAACCCTGGGCAAGTCAAGTTTCTGAGCCTCAGTTTTCCCCATCTATAAAATGGAAACAATCAAAACACTTACATAATGACCCTCAGAAAAATATTGTGAGGAAAGGGTTTTGTGAACCTGAAAGTGCCATAGAAACATTAGTTATTATTATCTTTACCAGAGCCCGCAGGAGGGGACAGGAAGTCTATATGCAGTTACCTCCCGGTGTCCAACAGAGATATTGTCCCCTTCTCTGGGTCCTGCTGAGTCCGGAAATACAGCCTTCCTCCCTCTCACCAGCCCTTTCCTGTCCATCAGAGCTCCAAGTATCAGACTGAAATGTGAAGGAAACAAGGACTTGGGAGCCAGGGGAGGGGTCAGGGACCCTCCTCTCGCTAGTCAGGAGAAATCTCTGCTATGGCCCAGAGAATGCCTGGGATAATTATGAAGCCAGGGAGGTTTGCCTTCCTCCTCCCTCCTTCCATTCTCCACTAGCATTCTGGGGCCTTTGTCTTCCCCTGGCTACTCAGAGGCCCCCAGCTTTGGGTGTCTCTCCTGTTCTCCAGTTCAAAAGCTACCTATTCTGTGACCCATTTTCTAAGGGCCTGCTCACTGCTGGGTGATTATGAGCCAATCTGGTCAATTGACATGTAAAGTAGGCTCTTTCCCTTAACAGAAGCATTTTAGGCTAGAATGGGGCAAGGTTCTAGAGATGGTACCTTGACCCAAAAAATGACTCTAAAAGCAAGAATTTAAGGTTTGGGTTGAATATGAGGGCAGGTGGGGTTTGAGCATGTATTATGTGCAGGCAGCCCTCTCTGGAGGATGGGCTCAATCTGTCATGGGATAGAAGTGATGACCCTGGCCTGGGTCATGCTGCATCTGCTTTCTCTTTCCACAGTTGAGGGTTTCAGTGGCTATGCTGTGAGGTACCTAAAGCCGGATATCACCCAGTGCTGGCGGGTAGGATTATTTGAGTTATGCTTGGCTGCCACTGACCAGTGATCCTGGGCCCTGTCCAAGGACAGACCCAGACACATCTCCATTGGGATGGGGTCCCTATTAGCCCAGACACCCCCGAGAGTGGGGTGGGGGAAGAGGAGGGCACGAAGGAAGAGAATGATGGAGAACTGAGACAGCTCTCACATCTCTCTCCCCTGCCCCCGGCTGGAACAGAACATAGGAAAAAAGAATCCCTCCTTATCAATTAGAGGAATATCTGGGAGGACTTTGGTGGTCCTCAGTGGAGGAGGAGAGGGGAGTCAGGGAACCATAGTAGAATCCCCCATTCTTACTTCTGTGACAAGATGGGTCTGAGAAGGAAGGAGCAGAGGCTCTCCCAATCTTTAAGCCAGTGGAGTCCTGGTATAACTGGCTAATTATCACCCCTAATTTGCATCTCTGCTTCCTAGAATCCATTGGGAGTCTGAGGATCTAAGTGTGACCATGGCAAATTATTGTACCTTTATGAGCCTCAAGTTTTCTTATGTATAAAATGAGGTTGGGGTGGAGGAGGGAGAAGAGTGGTAAACTCCACAACCTATAACATTCCTCCTGGGTCTAAGTCTATGTTCTCATGAACCCAGCTCTTCCATGAACTAGCCACATCACTTTGGGCAAGTCACTCCCCTAAGCCTCAGTTTCCCCATCTGCAAAATGAAGATAAGAATACATACCTCCCTTGCAACAACCTTGCATAACCAGTATGTTGAACTATAAAGCATTGTTCATTTGTAAGGTGGGATTATGATCAACTGGGACAAAGAAATGGCCTTTCTTCCTGAAGCCATCATCTCTCTCCCAGGCCAGCCTGGGATTGTTCTTTGCAACAGCATTGGCTAGAGTGTTCACAACTGAAATGCAGGCAGAGTCAATGGGTACACCTGCCACCCCCAAACCCCTCCAAGGCCTCTGGGGAACTGGAGGATGCAGCTTGGTCCCTATCTCTGTGGTCTGGGGCAATTGATTCCATTTCTTTACCTGTAAAGTAAAGGAATTGGAACAGGTGAATACTAGCATTCTATGCTTCCAAATCCATTGACTGCAGCCTTCATCCCTGAGGGCGGGAGACAGGTATAAATCCTTGGCCCCTGTGGACACATAGACCCTTCCCCAAGGACCTCCAAGCTTCCATGAGGAGAGCTGGGCCAAACAGCCCCTGTTTACTGATCTCTCTCTCTTCTCTGGTCCTCTCTTAGTACTGTCTTAACCAGAACCCCAGCCTTGACCAGTATGGACAGAAACCCCTTCCTAATGACACCATGTAAGTGATCCCTCTTAGGGGTTTTCCTTACGTACCAGGATAGAGGTTCCCCATCTCAGTCCTAAGTAGTATTGCTTCTCTCCCTGCAGGAACACCTTCCGAAGCTTTAGCTCTGCCTACAGGTAACAGGATGGGACCCCTGCCCAGCATCCAGCCCCTCACCTGCCATGTCTAAGCCAAGTGTTCCCCATCCAGGATTGTGCTTAGTTCCCATTGGTCAGGGTTTGGGAGGGCAAGATGGATGATAGCTTGTGTGAGGTCACTAGGACATAAGGTCAGGGAAAGAGCAAGGGACTGACAATTCATCAGCCCTCATAGTCACTCAAAACAGTGTAGGCACATGGGAGCTGTCTGACCCCACAAGTTCCTCAGGAGGTGAGGTTAGAGTTTTCCCTAGAAAGGTGACAAAACAGGCATTCTAATATAAAACAGTGGCACAAAGGGCATTGGACTTGAAGCGAGAAGACTCAAGTATGCCTTTGGACAAATAATTTCACCTCTCTAGATTCCTGTATCCACACTATACAATGGGTGGGTGTTAGACTGTCAGAACTGGAAAAGACCTCAGACATCATCAGGGCATGGGGCCATAAAAATGGTCACAGATGTTGGTAGAGTTTTCCTAAGCAAGATTTAACTTCCAGCTTGGATGGAGGGAGGGGTTCAAGATGGTCTTTTAAGAAGCAAGGCAGCTGGGGAAAGGAGCCCTTGAGTGCAGCCAAAAAAAAACAGCGCTCATTCTGTGCTTACCCCTGAAGCTGAACACCACAGGGGATATGTGAGAATTGTAAGATCAATCTATGCCCCGAGGAAGTTTGTAACCAACCCAGGAAATGGGACTAACAAACAGGAAATAAATAAAGTGCGAGCTGTGTAGCCATAGCTATACATGTCATGGAAGGGAGAGATCGGGTAAGGGTGAGAACACTTGGGAAAGGTTTCCCAGAGGAGGCCGAGAAAGGGTAGAATTTAGAGAGAAGGGAATAGGGTTGGCATTCCTGGCAGGAAAATAGCATGAGTAAAATCAAAGAGGTGGAAATGAGTTATAGTATCTTCAGGGGACAAGGAGGAGGGCAGAGTGAAAGGAGAAATTTGGAGGTGAGAAATAATATTAGTGTGGGGGCAGATTGTAGAGGGGCCTTGAATGCCAAACAGAAGAGCCTAGACACCGAGGAGGAGGAAGGAGGAGGATATAGTGCCGTGTGGTTTCCAAAGCACTTTTAATCACCCCATTTGGAGAAGTTGTACTCCATTTCCTCATCTTTAAAATTAAGGGGGTTGCCCTGGGTGATGCCTCAATTCCCTTCCAGCTCAAATAACCTTTGAGTCTATAAAAGAGGGAGTCATTGGTGATTGTGCAGCAGGGCTGTGGCACAATGAAAGCAAGGCTTAAGGTGAGCATCTGTTTCTTTCCCCAGACAAGTCAGCTACCTGACACCCTGGCATTAGCTTCCCAAGAGGAGGAAGAGGATTTGGAGGTCTGGGCCAGCAGGACCAGGCCACCTTAAGTATCCAGCTCCCCAAAAGTAGAGGTGGCTCTGGAAGTCTCCACTTCCCTGAGGAATATGGAATCCATGGCAGGAACAATAAAATAACCCCTCCACTCAAGAAGGCTTGAGCCTCAAAATAGCAGAGAAATGTATTGATGGCAGGGTAAGGAGAGTGGTTATTAAGATGCTTCAGAACGAAGGAAGCCAACTCATGCCTCTTCTTGGCCCCATGGGAACAAATGTCCCCTTGATTCGGGTGAGAAGAAAACAGCCTGCCTTGCCCTCCACAGGGGCTGGACAATATAAGGGACGCTCTGTAGATGGGAAAGATGTTCTTTATGTGTCATATCATGAAGAATAGGTACTTTGGAGTCAAAAGAACCAGGGGTTCAAATCCTGACTCTGCTACTTAATGGAGACAGCTAGGTAGCATAATGGATGGCCCAGTAGGTCTGGAGTCAGAAAGATTTGAGTTCAAACTCGACCTCAGGCACTCCCTAGCTGTGTGACAATGGACCAGTCACTTAACCAGTTTGCCTCAGTTTCCTCAACTTGTATAATGGGGATAATAATAGCACCTTCCTTGCAGGGTCATTGTGTGGATCAAATGAGAAACGATTTGTAAAAGGGCTTAGCAGAGTGCCTAGTAGGCGCTATATAAATATTTATCCCCTTCACCTTAATACCAGTGTGATGCTATAAAATTACATCAGATGAGATGCTCTCCAAGGCTCCTTCCAGCTCCAGATGCCATGATAATTCAGAGGCCTGGTCTTAGTAGTTCATTCAAATCAATTATTAGGCTTCCACTCCACACAAGGGTCTGGACCAGGTGCTGAGAATACAAAGATGGAAGAGGACCCAGTTCTTGACCTTAAGTTTACATTCTATTAGAATAGAGAGGGGATGTAGGTGTTGACCTGTATATAGGTAAATATAACACAAATTAAGAGATGATGGGGCAATACGGAGACCCATAAGAATGTTCTACGAAAATCTGGGGCAGAAAACACAGCTGAGGTTTTGGTTTGGGGGAAGGAGGGTCAGGGAAGGCTTATCAGAGGAAGCGGTACCCAGGCTGGACCTCGAAGAAATGGATTCTGACTCAGTTTCTGATCTTGCTAGCTGACTAGGCAAATAACTTTCCTTCTCTGAGCATCAATGGATGCATTTATAACATGAGGATTATCCTACTTATATCACTACTGCTGCTGGGAAGACAGCGCTCTGGAAATCTAAGTTGACATTCCAGTTAGCTGCTCTTCTCTGACTCTGAAAGTGCAGAGATAGTTACCTTCCCAGAGAGAGGGAATAGGGCCCCCATTGCTCCATGGTCTAGCCCTATAGGTCTGGTCTGCTTAGCCCTATAGGTCTGGTCTGCTTAGTTTTGGGGAGGGGACCTGGTGCCCAGTTTCAGGGAGGAGGGCTGTCCTAAGCACCTGGTTCAGGATGGTGTCTCCAACATCATTTCCCCTGAGCCTGGAGCTTCTTTCCTGTCATTGCTGCCCTCCAGTCCTCCCCATTCATCCACTAATAATATCCACGTCTGCTATGGCACAGAACAAAATGGGTAAGGAAACCCTGGACTGGATGGGAATGGGATGTGGGGGAAGGTCTATTTCTCAGCTCACCAAAAATAATGGAAAACGTAAAAGAATTTTTAAGAGTATGGTCCCAAGGGAAGCCCTTTCTGTGGGGAGCTGAAAGCTCTGACTCAGTGTTGTGCTATGTCCTGCTCCCCACATCCCTGCCCACTCACCACCCAACTCACATATCCACACAGTCTCATCCTTTAGCGCTCACGACTTCCCGAGGATCAGCCTCTGCTGGGGCTCCCTCTGCCGTACCAGGGCCAGGATAGCTATTCTCCTAGCCCACACCTACCTCTAGCTGGCTCCCATTCAATTTAACAGGTTTCTATTAAACACCATGTACCAGACATCCTGCCAGCTGCTGGAGATGCAGAGAATCTACCCTTCCATATCTATGTTACAGGCACAGAGACCCTTGGTACAAGTCTGGGAATCCCTTCCTGACACACAATCTGTCACGCACTCTGAGTGGTGCATGAAGTCCTCCCTGGACTTATGGCGTCTTGCCTCCAGACTTGGCTTCCTATCAAAGCATTAGGCAGTCACAGGACACAAAGGAAGAAGACAGAAATGAGGTGAACCTGGTGGGTCATGCCATACTGGGAAAGGCTACCTTAAATGCCACCCAAAGTGGCAGGACCCTTGGAATACTCAGTGGGAAGAGGGAGAGACTGTGCCAACTGAACTGCCCATGTGAAGAACAGGTGGAAAGCATGAGAGATAACAGATGCTTCAAAGTCACCAACCTTTCCCCCCTGGACCCACAGGACTAGAGGTCAGAGTCCACCACGGACTCCACCACTTCAGAAAATGTGTTTATAGAGTTCTGGGACTACATAGGAATGACAAAACCACCTATAAAAGGATGGATGAGTGGGAGAGGATACGTTCTTGAAACACTGTCCTACTGAACTAAGTTCTCCCTGGGAAGGGTGTTGAGCTCTAGGAAAACAAGATCTCCAAGTCGTAAGGGATATTTAGTCATCTAGCCTAACCCAGTGCGAAAATGAATCACTGCCCCCTGCACCATACCTGATAAATGATCCTTCAGTCTCTTCTTGAAGACATCTAATGAGACATCATTATATCCAGGAGCTCAGTCCATTTTTGGATAGCTCCAATCGTTTGCAGAGCTTTTCCTGACATTCACTCAGGGTCTCCAGTTCTGCCTTTGGGGCCAAATGGAACAAAATGGTCTCTATTCTTCGAGGCTGCCCTTCTCATCCTTGAAAACAGTGACCATGTTCCCTGAGTCTTCTCCAGTTCCCTTCAACCAATACTAACATGGCACAGACTTGAGGTTCATCATCTCCCCATCAGTGTTGCCCAGCTTTAAAAATTCTACAATTGACCGCTAACCTTCCTAAACTACCCAGAACTGACCATACTCTGGATGTTCAATGGCTAGAGTGCTGGGCCTGGAGTCAAGAAGACCCAAGTTCAAATCAGATCTCAGACACTAGGTCTGTGACCTTGGGCAAGTCACTTAACCTCTAGTTGCCTCAGTTTCCTTATCTGTAAAATGATAGTACCTCTTAGGGTTGTTGTAAAAATCAAGTAAGATATTTGTAAAACTTTTTGCAATACAAAGCAGCTGTATAAATTCTATAGTTATTATTATCTAGATGCCAGGATGACCAGGGCAAAGTACAGCAAGGCTATCACTTCTTCATCCTAGAAGCTATGCCTCTCGATGCAGCCCCAGATCTACACTAGCCCCTCCTCCTTCTGCCTTATAGCAGTTTCTCTATAAGTTTCTGACCTGCCCTGGGCTCCAGCCACCCCCATCTCCCTAATTCCAAGAGCAACTACCAAGGTACCACCATGCTCCTTTTTCTTCAAAATGTCAACTGAATGACACCTTCTTCATGCCTTGGGGAGTGACCTTGTGGTAGTGGAATTATGTGCAGAGCTCCACAACTCTCCAAAGGGTTTTGCTTCACTATATTGATAAGCAAGGTGAGGAATAGCTGGGAAATGGCATTTAACCTCTCCCTGATTCTAGAAACCATAGCAGGGTTATTGTGGGCTAGATAAGCACTTAGATAAGCATTTCACATAGTGTTAGTACAGAGGTGTCAAACTCAAGGCTTCCCACAAAACTCCTGAGTGTGGCCAAAACCAGATTGAACTGTAATCGGAAAATGTTTAACAAAATGTAAAGATAATATATCACAGGTGATGTTAATTGGTGGTTTTCTAAGCCAATATGCACCTAGCCAACAGGGAGCCATTTCTACTTGAGTTTAACACCAATGGGTGGTAGATGCAAAACAGGCTCAATTGTTTCAGTGGAAGCAGAGAAGGACAAAATTTTTTTTTAAAATTAAGTCACCTTTCAGATCCTCCCATGGAAAAATCCTTGGCTTCTTGGCAATTAAATATAAGTATGTGTGCACAAGAGAGAGAACCAGGTTCTGGCCAAAGGAGACGGGACTTGGTAATAGTCCTTCAGTCAACAAACTTATTATGTGACTCAAAGACATCAGTCAAGCAAATTTCCCCCATTTCCGGTAATTAGGGAGTTCTAGGAATTTTCCCAAGGTTACCGGAGCGTATCCTTATGCTGAGAGAGGGCCAGAGTAAGGTATGGCCCTCCTCCCAAAAGCCTCCATCAAAAAAACTTTGTTTCCAAATAGATTAGAATCTCCTTAAGGGCAGGGACCAAGTATCCTATTTCTGTATCCTTCCTAGTGGCTGGTACAGGACCTGACACATATTGCTTAATAAATTCTGTCGGACAAATGAGTGAATGCAGGCATATGCAAAGAATCAACACAGAACTGGACGATGATCCACCCCCAAAACCCATCCACAATAAACAGGGAAGAGAACCCACTTTTCAAAAGTTGCCTCTGTCCTTTTGCATGGCCACTGTTTAGAAACTGAAAATGAACTCATCTGAAACCCTTGTTTCTTTGTATATTAGACAAAAAAAAAAAAAAAACCCAAGGACCAAGAATCTGATCAGAAAAGGTCTGGCTCAGCATTGCAGGACTGATCTTTGAGAACTAAATGGGGAGCTGACCCATGGTGACAATAGGAATCTAATCCAGTCAAGTTAAAGGGAAGAAAGAAGGAAACGTGGTATGTTTTTGAGGACGTTGGATTTGAAGTCAGAAGACTTGGGTTCAAATCATCACACTGTACTGCCTAGGAGAGCACAGGCAAGTCATTCATCTCTTTCTGCCTCATGTGTAACATGAGCCCTTAAACATGATGACCTCTGAGGTCCCTGCCAACTCTCAATCTAGGTTCCTTCTCTCAGGACAGCAGGGGTGCCACTAGAGGGGCTAGAAAACCCAGGCTGGCTTTCATCCAGGGGTGTGTTGTAAGGGGAAGGGACCTCAGAACCTGATTCAGAAAAACGTGGACCTTCCCTTTGCCCATGGCCAACCCTTCTAAATTGTGCCCTTAATCCCATGCTCTCCTCCCAGAGCTCATGGCCTCAGTCGTTCCCTCCCTCTCATTCCTCCTCTCTACTGCCCCTTCCTCTTTTCCTGCAATCGTGTGGTTTCCCTCATGC